AAGCTGGGGGAGTGACTGCTGGCGCAGCTGAGGTCACTTGGAGGCGTGTCGCTGCTCGTCTGCCAGCAGGCTCGCGCCATCGTTGAGAGATGCGGACTGGGAGGATGCGGCAAGAAGATATTCAAGGTAGAGGAGATGTCAACCTCCTCCTCCTCGTGACCCAGGGAGGCAGGCGACAAACGTCATGAGCGTTACCGACGACACAATGGTGATGGTAAGAGACTGCGTGATGTCGTTTGCTGAATTCGGAGGAGCTCGCTTCTACGGTGAGAGAGTTTAGTGTTCTCCTCCCTCCCTCCTCCTCTCGCCTCTCTCCTTCTCCCCCTCTCCCTTCAGTTTCAAGACTTGTTTCTTCCCCTTGTTCGAGGGTTGCTTCACTTGCTCCTGTTCTTCTTTTGCTATCTTTCGTTGTTCCTCTCCTCTCCCTCAGCAGCCGCGTCCTCGCAGGCAACAGCAAGGGAATCATGTCTCGATCCCACGTCCACCACATCGGCAGCTACGGGCTCCTCGTCGACGCCAACTCCAACGTCACAGCATGGAACTGCACGTTCCAGGTGGGCAGTAGCCGACTGTGATGAGAGCTGATGGGGATGCGATAGAAATGCTCTGAAGGAGCGATAACGACAAGGTGAGGTCGGGCAACGTGAACTTGTCGATCTGATCGTTTGGTTTCTTTTCCTCGCCTTCATTGCGCCTTGTGCGATCAGTGTACGTCCTGCAAACTGCTCTCTGTATACAGGATGTCATCAGTACATCAAGGTAGGGGGAGGAGAGAGTTGATAAAGAGTGTTTGGGCGGAAGCAACGGGCCCAAGGAGCAGCAAAAGGAGGCGTGAGTGGCTGGGTAGGGTAGGGAAAGCAGGGGAGGGTGCATGGGAGGAGGGAGAGGAATGTGGAGGAGAAGGAGAAGGAGGAAGAGGAGGAGGGATAACGGCGATTACAGGCGGTAGAATGGTGGGGCCCTCAACGGCCTGGTACGTTGGTAGAGATCAATGCGTCTATATGGAGCGATGAATGTGAGTAAGAGGAGAGGGGATAGGAACGTGGGTGAGGGGAGAGGGGAGGGGATGGGGGCTGGAACGTAGCTGAGGAGACCTGGACAGGGGCCAGGGCTACTTGGGTGACAGAAGTGAGAAGGAACATAGGAGACACCGGAACCAGACCGCTGGCTTTGACCGCAGGAGAGGATTCAAAACTGTTGCTCCAATCGTACGACAGTCTTGACGACGGCCACGTCTCAACAAGCAAATAATGTACATCGCCTTGTAAATGATAACAGGAAAGAATAAAACCTATACAGACAACTTTGCTACTGTACATGCAAAGGGAAAACAAGAGTGGATAGAAGGATATGCAGCCCAAACCCGGCGAGGAGGATGACTCCGACGATCATGACGTTGCAAACTTCGGTGTTGCACATCCTCACCCTTCCAGGCTTGTACAAGTCATGGTCCTCTTTCGCATCAATGAAATTCTTCATCCATGCTCGCCGGACAGGTCTCTTGAATCTCTGCAGATGCTCTGTGGTCCCAAACAGCTCCTCCTTGATGTTGGAGTATGCGGTGGAGAAGCTCAGAGGAAGGCACATCTCCTGCTCCTCCTCTTGCCCCGTCGCCGCCTCTGACTCGCCCTGATCCAACTCTGCAGGCTCAGAATCCCTTGCTTCCTCCGCGGCCTTTTCGTGAGTGGCTGACGGCTGATCTGCCTTGCTAGCAGACGTCTGGTCATCACTAATCTTCTCTTGCTCGTCCCGTTTCATATAGGCCTCGTCATCAGCTTTGATGTCCCTCGCGATCTTCGCGACTGGGCTCGCAGTATCCTCCTTCGGCCCTTCGGCCTGCTCCGCCCCTGAATGAACATTCCGATCAGTACATGCACACAACACAACAACAGCAGAGCAGTACATCAACCCCTCGATACACATCAAGTAACAAGAGGGAACGAATTTGCATCAGGTCTAGATATCTTCTGCAAGGAACGAGCCTTCGGTAGGGTGCAGGTCACACTTATCCATGAGATGCATCCACCACAGAAACAATTTCGCACTTGACTCAAGGCATAGTCACCGCGTCCTCAGAGGCTAACGCCTTAGACCCGGCCGGCTTAATGTGCGCACTAGAGGGGAGGACGACACAACTTCCTTCGAGGGAACATAGAGGAAGCAGAACAAGGACGCCAGAGCACATGAAAGACAACATGATGCATGCTTGCGCACAGTCTTACTTCGAACGCTCCATTCCATAGAAGGAAGTGCAGGCATCATGGCTGCAAACCATCCCCGGTTTCCGTTGACATTCTGCGCCTCCTGGCTTGCTGAAAGCGGCATGTCAACAGCCAATATCACAGACATCGTCAGCATTACCGGATCGGGCCTCCTCCCTCGACAGGGGTCTGTTCGTAACGTCGCTGGAATGTGAACAGTGAGAAGCATCACCAACACTCTTGCAACTCTACCTGCCCATCCACGAGGCGAGCCATGAAGAACGATCGATCGAGCTTCGAAGAAGACTCATGAAATCGTGTCTTGAGCTTGGCTGCAAATGTGTAGCATGTTCCAGTTGGCCAGTTTCAACCATGTCCTGGCGACCTTCAACAATGCCGGAATGTTGTACCGAGACAATGTCCTCATTTTCATCTGCTAAAGCCGACGATCCACCATTATCATCCTGATCTTGGATTGTTGTTGGAGCCGCACCCTCCTTGACTTCGACATTGACAACCACCTCGTCCGGGTTTGCATCATGGTCTTTGACCATGATCGAAACTACCTTGATCTTGCCTCACAATATAGTGTTCTTCTTGTCTTGTTGTCTTGTTGTCTTGTTGTCTTGTTGTCTTGTTGTCTTGTTGTCTTGTTGTCTTGTTGTCTTGTTGTCCCTTCTTTTCTTCACCTTCTCACCGCAAGAACAGCTCGTGTCCGTACGATGCTTGCAGCGCTACTCCAGCATCTTCTTCGCTTCTCGATTAGGGTGGTGGGTCATTAGATACCGTCACAGTACCCCCTGATTGGAAATGAATGATTCGTATCAAGTACCCGTGTGGTGACTACCCCACCCATCTATTTTGATGAGTACCCATGGCCCCTCAGTCGATGAGTAAAAATGTTTGGAAATGAATGAGCTAATTGCATTTTGTAGTGTTCAGCATCCCGGCCCGTCAGGCCCGGTAAGTTTAGGTTCAATTTAGTTCTCAATAACCTAAACTAAGCTAATCTTTTTTTTCCTTGCACGCGCAGTTATCAACCACCCTCCAAACGCACCACCCCGACAACGACTACCCCGAAGTATTGACAAAAAGTCTTGATGACCCGTGTAAATGACTATTAAAAGTACCCCCAAGCAGAACGGTTTTTCACCCCCCACCAGGTTTCAATCATGTATCCACCCACCCTCTTTCGCAGACGGCGCAGTACCCCGAGCAATTTGTGGTCAAAGACACCGGTGGTCCACCCAAGCGCCCACCGCACGAGCCGCCGCCATGGGTGCGTACAAGTACATGGAGGAGCTTTGGAAGAAGAAGCAGAGCGATGTGCTTCGCTTCCTCTCCCGCGTGAGAGTGTGGGAGTACAGGCAGCTCCCTGCTATCCACAGATGCACTCGCCCAACCCGCCCGGACAAGGCCAGGAGGTGAGATAACAGGACGATGGAGAAATTCCATGTTGTCGCGTATGATCGCATCAAAAATGGATCTTTCAGTGAATATTTCACGTGTATCATTTCTGTTCAGAGATCGAAACATGTTTCTAGATGTTTTTTATATATGCGGTTTGAATCTCGACGATTTTGTTGATGGGGTGCCCCTTGGCGATATCATGCTATTTGTTTACCATGTACCGCTGTGACTCCTGTGTCTCTGATTGCTATGGTTGCACGGAGGAATCCTGTCTCCTACCGTACATTGGGGAATGAATTCTCTGTTGTTGCCATGGTGTTAGTTGTGCGTGTACATGTCATCACTTTGACCAACATGCAAGAAGCACTATGATTCACACGCTCTTGACAGGTTGGGATACAAGGCCAAGCAGGGCATTGTCATCTACCGTGTTCGCGTTCGCCGTGGAAGCAGGAAGAGGCCTGTTCACAAGGGTACCGTGTGGGGTAAGCCCAAGAGCTCTGGTGCCATCAACAAGTTCAAGTGCACCCGCAACCTCCGATCCCTTGCCGAAGAGCGTGTCGGTCGCAGATGCGGAGACCTCCGTGTCCTCAACTCCTACTGGGTTGCCCAGGATGGCATGTACAAGTTCTACGAAGTTATCCTTGTTGATCCTGCTCACCGCGTCGTCCGCAACGATCCTCGCCTCAACTGGATCTGCAGTGCCAAGATGAAGCACAGAGAGCTCCGTGGTCTCACAGCTGCTGGAAGGAAGGGACGTGGTGTTGCCAGAGGACACGGCAATCACAGGTGCTTTCTTCATCTCTCTGTTAGATTTCTGTGCGCTAAACTTGCTTCAGATTTATGCCTTCCCGCCGTGCTGTATGGAAGAAGCACAACTCCGTCTCCCTCAGACGCTTCAGATAGACGAGTTAAGCATCGGCTTGGCTGTGTTAATGAAATTCTTTATAGCCATGCTCTCCACTCTGTCACTATCATTTGCTTTGGTGCTTCGCACTCTTCTCTACTAGATGATTCGGAAGTTGCACTTGTAAGGTTCAGCAAGTATTGTTTCAGGCTTTCAAAAGCTCGATAGGCCTTGCTCCTAAAGGAGAAAAATCACGTCCGTTGATGATAAAGTTGGAAACAAATACCTGTAACAGAAAGTCGCTTGTTCGTTGGTGATCCGTCCTGGAGAAGGTTTGCCAAAGCATTCCTGTCTTCTTCAGAGACGGGCGGTTGCGGTATGCTGACATGAATCTGGCATGCAATGTCAGCAATCAACAGCGTTGGAAGCACGCACAGACCTTCACGATGAGGTCCCCACGCTCACTCGGATTCTCTTGCTTTGGTAGGCCTTCACCGGCAATTCGAAATTTTGTTTCTGGTTGGATCACTTGTGGTTCACGCAAATGGCTGTTGATCCCAACATGGTCAGATGTTGGAGTATTCTACATCTGAAGCTCACATTGCAAGAGGCTCGTTGGTAAGACTATTTACAGTACCAAGCTGCATGAAATTATCACAAGATGAATCCTGCAGAAAAGATTGCTTACATTGACACCGAAGATTGCATCGACAAGTGGAATCTGCAGCATTCGTCAAGCTTGAACTAGCACTTGGCCTGTCTTGCTTACAGTTATCTCCGTCTCAACATCATCTCCTACGCAATTCAAGTTGTCCGCTTGTTCCAAAGAAAGGATCACGATGACATCTCCAGGAATGTAGCCTGGTGCATCATCTCCCTCGCACGGAAACGTGAAAGTAGTGCCATTCCGCATTCCTACCCCTCGGGTCATCGAGACGACAAGCTCAAAGCACCGTACCTGGAACTACGTCGACTTGCAGCTGACACCGCTCCTGCACGGGCTCTCCACCAATATTGTGAGCCTTCCGCTCGAACTCGAAGACGGCGCTGTGACCGTTCAAAAGGTCCTCCAAGGAAACGCCCAGATTCACCTGATCAAACAGTCTCATCAGCTGTTGGACGAAGCATGCTTTGACTGTCACCTTGATGTTCGCATGCTTGGCCTGAGCGAAGAACACTTGATCGAAATAAGTCATTGCCTCTACCTTTGCATATAATATCTTGGACTCCGAGGCTTGAGAACCCTGCTTTTGCCATTCAAGATATCCTTCGCAAATTCTTATAGAATCAGTAAGGTGTTGAAGCTTGTCCGGAGAGCCTTGGACATTAGGGTGCAAAGGTGGTGCCAGTCTCTTATACGTCATCAAAAGATCGTTCTGAGAGCAGTTGTCTGGAGAGAGATTGATTTGATGGAAATGTTGGATTGCTTCTTGACGCGGAATCGATAGCATGGTAGCCGAATTCGATTTGGAAGGGCTTCTATCCCCATTTTGAGCCTGAGATTCCGCTAGCTGCTGCTGAATCATTTGCATTTGCGCTGCACTTCCATCGAACCACATGGTGCCCTTCGGAAGCCCGAGTGATTGACACTCATCATCGCTGATCATCGTCTTCTTGAGTTCCTCATTCATACTGTTGATGCTATCCTCCATCTCGTTCGGCTTTGGCTCCGTCCATGTATTGTTGCTGGAGCCGGCAGGGAAAGTCACGGCAGGCGTGTTTCCTGTAGCACTTGTCGGGGACAATTCCTCTCTGAATAGGTTTGATGGTTGATGCTGCTCAAGTCTCGGATCTGCATGGTTGACATTCGTTCGTCCGGTGTAATAATCTTGCAAGGAATCAACGTCCATGAGCTTCTGCTTTCGAAGGCTCTCGCCGATGAGATCTCCTTGTTTCTTCAGCCTGTCCAGTTCTTGCTCTGTCTGCATCAACCTCTGTGCGATGCGGTCGGCCTCGTACCTGATAGACGATGTTTCTTCCTCCAAAGCGTTGTCACCGTCTCCATATTCGTTCTCTTTCAGTGTTATGTCTTCATGAGCAGGAGCAAATCCAACACGCTTCTTTGGCTGTCCATTCATTCCTTTGCTGTGCAAATTGTTGGAGTTGCTACTGTAGATTCCAATCTCAGTGTTTTGTACTGTTGTGCTCGAATATAAACGAGCATTGTCAGCCTCTTGCCAAGAACCTGCGTTATGGTTCTGTTGCTGGAAGCCATTTGGATTTGAAACGTACATGTTCGGGAATGAATTTTGCTTTTGATATTCAACCTCAGGCGACACTGTTGCGAAACCACCCCCGATATGAGCAGGGTTCTGCGGAGCAGGAGCGAAGTTTGTAGTTTGAGGCATTGAATTCATCATAAAATTGGGTTGCTGCCTGTTGAAAGTTGGAACTTCGCTTGTCACAGGAGAAAACCCTGGATTGATAGGCTGCTGAGGAGGAATGACAGTCGGAGTATTTGTTGTCGCTCGGTTCACAGAGAGAGGCATGGTCGTCTGATTTTCCATGTACGGAGTGTACGATGGCATGAATTGCTGCGGATTCATTGGAACATTCGTTGCTGGCTTCGTCATTTGCATGACACTCTGTGTCACTTGAGGGGGAGGAGGAGGAGGAGGAGCAGACTGTACGGTCGGACCTGGACCACGACGAGGCGGTGGTCCCAGATGATGGGGGGCAAATCCAGGAGGGAGATTGGGCATCACTTGAATACAACCTGAAGATAAATCTCAACAAAGACTGCATCAACATAAACAGATTGAAGCTGGTGATTATCACAGCTGGAATAAAAATTAAGCAGAACACAAGACCTGAAGTCAAAAAGGACAACTGAGAGATTTTGACTAACGCTTTTTCAATCTCGTTCAACGCTTTTTCGATCTCGTTTCTCCTCACAAATATTCTTCTCAAAATAAATCTCGGACAAACAGTTCTAGCTTTCGACATCCATCATGCTCAACAAAGCTTGTAACATGTCATCTATACTTTCTAAACCTTTATCTACAACTTGATGCAAACTCAAAAAACTCACAAACATTTCATCACATCCGGCAACCCCCGTTTCAACAACTCATGTCCTACATTCACGCTCCCTCGTGCGCCAGCTTGGGGTCGATTCTGCAACCGCATATTCCCTACAAGCTCCCTTTGATCACGCTTGTTCAACTTGACACTTTCTTAAGGCTGTCCTGAGACCTCTGAGACATCACACGCGACTTGGCTCTCTTCTCTGCCATCTTACACCACTTTGAATCCTTCGTGATGGCTTGCTACGCGTACATCTATCAACTCACTGTAAAGATCTTATTTGCATTTGCGACAACGCATTTTGTGATCTTTGTTTGCTTCAATCTTGTGATCATCGTTTCACTTTCTTTCTCGTCTCCCTCGTCTCTTCTTCATCTCCATTTGCCATCCCTCCAGCCTCCCTCCCATCCGATCTCCCGGCAGTGGTCAAGGAATTTTTCCTGTTCCCCTTGATTGCTACACACCTTTTGGTGCTACGCCCCGAAATATTGAATGATTATTTCTCAGCAGTGAAGTTGACATGTGAAATTTCAAGATGCAATTTCAACAAGCCTTCCGACCTGGACCCTCTCTGGTTTCTTTTCTTGGGGCGACGGCCCTTTGAATTCTCGAATGAGCATTTCCTAGGGTCGACCACCCCTACCCTGAGCACTTTGAATGACTACCCCAACCTGTTCATCACCACGAAGCGCCCGCCCCTACCCACCCACTCGCTAACCCACCCACCCACCCACCTAATGAGCTCATTCCTGCTTGCCAGTGGTACAGAGAGGCATCAAACCAGGACTGTGCCCTCTCACAAATACACCTACCATCATCAACAGCTCCTTGCTTACCCCTACCCCTGGTACATTCAAACTGTACCCCACCCCTTCAGTGTCACTTTTAAGTGCCGAGGTAGTTTGGCATTGCCACCCACCTCCCCCAAAAAGTGATCTCTGTCGTACAACCATCAGGTACTACCGTTAAATAATTACCTGGCTTGTTGGTACTGCAACCAAACAATTTTCTATAAAAGGCTCAATTACTTTTTATTTCTGGTAGAGCGAGAAATTGATTTCTACAATAAAAATTGGAAATAAACTACACCACTATTCTTCCGGGAAGCAAGGCTACAGCTGCGGACTCATCGCCGGGCTCCGACTCTCAGTCATCATGGCAATAGCTCAGTGCTGCCCCCGGCCCCGGGGCCCGCCCGGCGCCCGGCCCGGCCCACCTTGATGACCGGAGCCGTGGTTACTAGTTAGTGCCACGGTTAAGTGATACTGCCACGGTGACCAACGGTGACCCAAACATTAAAATCTCAAAAGCACGTCCTAAACTCTACATATCTTACAAGACTCCGACCGGAACTTACTATCGCCTGAAACTCGTCAGGCCAGCTACGAAGGAAAGTGATGCCAGTCGTTGCTGGACTGACGGCTGATGGCGGTGTGGAGAGTGTCGAGCATGTCTTGAGCACAGCTTCCTTCCGCCATGCGGCCATGCGACACCCGTCCGAGGGTGATGAGCGAGCCTTCTGACCGGAAGATGCAGGTGTGAGCCTCCCCGGCCGCCACTGCAATGGCCTTGATCGTGTCATGCGAGATCAGCGCGAGCTTCCTCGGCAGGACCTGGGAGGAACAGGATCACCCGGCTGAAGGGGGAGGAAGGAAGGAGCCTGGCATACCTCATCAGAGTCTGATCCATGCCCCAGCCTCCCGAGCTTCCCGCATCCCCACGTGTAGATTTGGCCCTGATCAGTGAGAGCCACTGAGTGAGCGAAGCCTGCTGCGATACTGACGCATCTCTCAGACTCGAGGGCTGATAGGAAGGTGGGGCTCCATTGGTCGTTATCGTTCCCTGCCGAAACGCCGGTCAGGAGCTGCTGCCAACGGGAGGAGGGGGGATACCATGCCCTAGTCGTCCTGAGTCACCAGACCCGAAGGAGAAGACCTGACCTCTCCTGTTTAGCACGAGCGTGTGTGACCCTCCTGCCTGCGCAGCAGCGACCGGCATGCCCTGCGAGCAGCTCACTGAGATGAGCCCAAGAGCATGGCAGGTTGTACCCATTCTATGAACGCAGCGACCAGCGTCGGGATCAACCTCTGTGCGTTGTCATTGTGTCCCAGCTTCCCTTCCTTGCCATCTCCCCATGTGAAGAGAGCGCCGTGGTGAGTGACAGCGACTGTATGATAGAAGCTGCGAGAAACTCGATCATCACCCATGAAGATGCCGATCATGGCAGGACTACCCGGCCGAGACCGACTTTACTTCGCCTTTGATCCTCGGGACGGGCTGCGGGATAATCTTGTCCACGTCGTCTCCATGACCCAGCTGTCCGTATCTTCCTTGACCCCACGTGTAGACAAGGCCTGTGTCTGTCACTGCAGCGCAATGTCCGGCCCCGAACGACAGAGCTGAGAACACGACCCGTCTGAGCAGAGACAAGCCTGCTCGAGTGACCCTGTGCTTCTTTATCTGCAAGGTCACAGCATCGTTAGAGCCCCTTGTCAGCTCGATCACTGCCTACCGAGTTGAAGGAAGCGCTCTGAAGCACAGTCTTGCCTGCCTCGAGCGTCAAACCGCCAACAAGCACCTGGCAGCTCTTGGTGATCTGCGGGAATGCCGTCAGCCGATGGCAACGAGGAGGAGTAGGGGTGGGGGCTCACGGTGAGGTGATGAGGGATGAGAGTAATGCGAGTGTGCTCTGACAGAAGCTTTCCGTCGGGCGAGGAGATCAGGTTCCTGTCCGACATCCTCGACAACCTGGCGGACGAGCCCAACGATTTTCTCATCTCATTGGAAAGAGACTTGTACTGAGCCCGATAATCTGTGTTCCCCACTTGCACCTGAGAAGAAGGTCAGAGGCACGAGCAGCGACCTCTGTCTCACGCTGTCTCACCATGCTCTCCTGCTTCTGGAGGCTACTGGGATAGGGTGAGGGCAAGGCAGAAGGGGACGAGACCACACTTCTATGAGGGGTCGAGACAAGACTCCTCTGCGTAAGAGGGGTCGAGACAAGACTCCTCTGCGTCTGAGGGGTCGTCACGTTCCTCTCCCCCTCCTTGGAGTCTTCTCGAGCAATGGAAGACTCCAAGGAGGGGGAGAGGATCGACAGTGACTCGAACGACGAGTGCAGCGAGTTGCCCTCCCCTGGGGTCGTAGCAGCGAGGACCTTGAAGCGAGTCAAGTCAAGATGAGCATGCGGGTAACGATGAGCATGTCAAGGTTCATCACCCTGGGGTCGAACGGATTCACGACAGCAAATCGAGTGTTAATGCCCAGCACTCGCTTCTCCACGCGTCGAATCTGGAATGAGGCTCAAGGGAGAGGAGGAGAGGGCAGACGTCGGTTACGGGAGACGCGATGGCGGACACTTGAGGAGCCGAATAGATGCAGGAGCTCTTGGAGAACGAGACCAGGCGATCGCTCCATGCGTAGTCCGAGTAGATCTTGAAGATTTGCCCGAACAACCCCGGAGAAACCGAGAGGATTTTGAACTGCGACAAGGTCAAGGGCGTGACGGCTTGTCAAAGCAAGTACAGGTGTCTCCTTCATGTTGGCGTGGTTGCTGAGTTCAAGGCCTGTGATGGAGGATCAAAGAGCTTGAGGAGAGCAAGTCGCAGGTGAACCTATCTGAAGGAAGGACTCTTGCTTCTCCGACTTGCTGGTTCTCCCGACGAATGAAACATTTCCCTCCAGCACTCCCTTCAAGAACTCGTGCAAGGTGATACTCCCCGACTTGTCATCATCGATGCACTCGAAGATCTGCAACGAGTTACTTAAATCCTCATTGCCGCAGGCTGCTCACTTTCATCTGATCTCCTTCCGAGAAACCGTAGTCTTGCAGCGCTCGTTCGAGCTCGTATCCTGTCGCATCACACTGGTCATTCCCCTCAGCCCCGTCAAGCTGCTGTGCTCTCACGCGTTAGATTTCCACTCCGATCCTTGTCGATCTTGTTAAAGAATTTCTTGGCGGAAGACTCTTCCTTCTGACGAGATTTTGACTTGACAAAGTCGGGGACCTGAGGCGAGCGTATCAGACGTGACGTCAACTCTCAACCAGCTGAAGCTCACCGCCAGGTCGAGCTTCGGAGCTCGCAGCAGCTTCCTGTACACATCGTACGTCTCCCGCTTCAGCGTGTGCCTCCCCGTCGTTACACCTGTCGCTCTCTCAGCCGCTCATCCTCCTATAGCAGACGAGACTTCACCGGCGCCATAGGCGGCAAAGTTACAGGAGGTCACGTCTTTGGCTCGCCCTGCCATGGACTGCAGTTGTCGCCTCATCATGGAGAGTTCTCGCTGCAGGTATCTGACGATGGGGTCAGGCCATGGCTCGCTGCAAGACGTCGGAGACATCTCAGAGGTCTTGGTGATCTTCAAAGCTTCTCTCTTGGTTTCGGATGATGCCGTCTTGAACCGATCATCCACCAGCTGGTTCAGCTAGAGGCCAGTCAGACTTTGAGCTCGTGTCACGTCGTCTCACCGGAATGTCCATGAATGACTTGACTTTCAACAGCCTGCAAAGACGATGAACTGCTTGCTTGAAGTTCGGCTGCAGTTTTATCCATGTCATTCCAACGACTCGAGCAACACGCGGGTCACCCAGTCTAATTCGCCCGAGAACTGAACCATCTCCATCTGCTCATTGAAGCTTTGAGCCAGCAGGTCTTTGGAGACCTTGGACCGCGTCAGCGTAACTCGAGCAGCGTCAAACTGATCGAGGGCCAACCGAAGTTTCTCTCAGCGGCTTCTCTTCATTGAAGAACTGACTTGAGCCATGAGCTACTCACAGACAGAACTCATCCCCTCACTGACCGTCAGGTACTCGTTGAAGTCCATGGTGCTGCGACGACTGGTCGACCTTCCTGTCCGAGCTGCCTGAACTCCCAGATCCTGCCGTCGACGTCACAAGACAGAAGACGACAAGAGTCCGCACCTTAGTCCCTAGCGTGCAGAAGTGCTTGAAAAGGATCTTCAAGTCGTTCAGCTCTTTCGTTTCCTGCCATCTGTCACGTCCTGCAGACGTCCAGGAAAACATGACACCTCATCTAAGATTTCTTGCCTCAACCCTTCAGGAAGGCGGTTGTTGATGTAATGTGCGATCTCAAAGTGTTTGTTCTCGATGGAAAGCGTCTGCTGACCATGGTTACTGTTGCAATTACATGCGTTGGAACTTTGCTGTCACCAGCGCATCTTTATCAGTAGTGTCCTTGAGAGCAGGGTCGGCACGAAGCTTCAGCAGGACTTTGACGACATTGAACATTCCGAACTCGGCTGCAAACATCAAGATCGTCTTTCCAGTGTAGTACTCTAGCATGTTTTCTGTTGGAGAGCTTACTTCCAGCTCTTCGCAGCGAAAGGTCTTTCTTCCGTTCTCGACAATGATCTCAGTCCGCAGCACCTTCTTGTCCGTCAAGTTCATCTTCCATTCATTCTCCGTGAGGTTCGGCGGGATCCAGTCCATGGAGAGGTATCGGACCAGCGTGTCGGTGACTTGTCGTCTGCAACACTCGAAGGCGTTCTCATAGATCGAGTGCAACGACATCTGCCCTGGTTTGCAACCTTGGTTGTTGACTACCTCTGTGTCCGCGTTGTTGTCCAGCAGGAGTTGTATCACCTGCAGCAACCGAGTCAGCTCCCTGCCGCCTACCTACGTCTCTGCTCCACCTGATGTCTGTTGAAGAGGACAGCATAATGCAAGGCTGTGCTCCCATCTCCATCCGCCTGGTTGATGTCGGAGTTCCTTGCCAGCAGATGCTGGACCGCCTGTTCATCTTCACCATGCGGAAGAGGTTAGAAGGCAGTCTCACATCTTTCATTCCGCCTTGAGATGCAGAAACAATCAGCGGTGAACCAAATTGGTCGGCACTTGTTGCTTCGATCTTCCCTTGCATGTGTGCTTTGATCATCTTGTCGTGCTGAAAGGCAAGTCAGCAACAGCAACAAGGTCGAGATCGTCGAACCGCGTGCGAGACTCCTTTCCTTAACTCATCACAGATCTCATCTATGATGAGCTCCCGGTCGCGGTTCACTGAGTTTGCTGTGTCCAGCATGTCCAACGGCTGCGGGTCAAACGAAGTTCGCTAGTCAACGCCTCTTGCTAACTGTCACTCCTCGCGTATCTGCAGCGACTGTAGTGAGACATGTAAATCAAGAAGAAAGGAGAGGGAAAAGCAGATGTTTGTGCAGGACATGCTAGCTTCTCTTTAGGGCATCAAGATACTTCAACATGATCATCCTTCAAACTCATCCAGCTGCAGCTGAGCTCCTACAGAGCCTCCTAACGTACTCTCTTCTTTAGCTTCAGATGGGTCGTTATTTAATGTGCTCCTGTGCTTTCACATCTGATCGTGACTTGACTCTCATGCTCTTCACATCTACTTGCTTCGACTCTCGTCACTGCTATCGCGTCTCTTCACCATGTTGTCTCTCATCGCATGCTTCCGGATCGTATGAACATCTTTTTGAGGGTTCAAACACTCACCACAAGTGAATCGTTTGCAGCAGCAGCACCAGCCGCAGCAGAGCGCAGCACCTCCAAGGCTCCTTGTCGTCCTGCTCCAGGCAGCCTCGTCCCCCACCTCCTCGTCTTCTTCCTCGTCCTCATCGCCGCCCTCGCTCATGCCCTCGCATGACCATCTTTGAGACTCCCGTAGGCCCGCGGCTTTTCCGTTGGGCTCTGGATCCTCAAACTCCGGTTGAGCGGCCGCGAGTCCAGAACTCAGTGAGGCCGGGCCCGGCACGGGCCGCGGCTGGATGATCCGACAGTCAGGAGTCCGAGCGGCAACCCGGGCCACAATGTTCAGGTCCCCGTCCCGTACTATGATGAGAGTCTACAGAGTCATGGGCGGCGGCCGTGGGTCATGATCATCGGATCATGCATGACTAGCCTTCCGGGAGCGGCCCGGCGGCAAACTTCCGATGGCCCGGTGGCAACTCACTGCCGCCTGGGACTCTTCATTCAGTCCGTAACGGCTTTTTTAACTCTAACGACACTGTGACCACCCAGGTCCTAGCCTTTCCTATGTTTGGGCCCTAGCATCTTAACTATTCGAATTCACCGTGACGGTACGGTACTAAGACCCCATCTATGACCCTTGTTTCTATGATGGTGCTAGAGCAATCCGTATCATCCTAAGGATTTCCTACGAGCCTCCTCAGCAGGTTGATGGGTCAGGCGGCGGCCAATGGCTCTAGTACCTTGAGTGCACAGGAGGACCCAGAGGAGGGGGAGGAGGGGGAGACTCTAGTAGAACATGGGGGAGGCATGGATGAACAAGGAAGCTCGAGATGAGCTTGGATCAGAACTTGCAACAGTTTGAATTGAAAGCGATGTGATGCTCTTTCCAGATGCCTAAAGACAAGTTGAGCCTCGTCATCGAATCATGCAGCGAGATGAATGCACAGGTTTTGTCCAAAGTCCAAGTTCGTCTCCTCCACTGCGAGAAGTATGGCAGATGCTGTTGCTTTCGCCATCGCTCACATCGAGTAGCTCGCAGAAGAGAGTCGTGGAAGGCTCCGTGTTCCTCACCAAGGCTTCAGAAACTCAGCGCTTTGACGAGAACTTCACGTTTGTCATCCCGGACATCAACTTGGCTCAGTTGGAGATCACTGTTTGGTATCCTGACTAAGATGATAAGGGAAAGAGTTGACTGTTTTGTCGGGTTCCAGGGATGTTTCGGAGGACAAGAGCGTTGCGGAGCCAGGGAACGGCAACTTCTTAGGAGAGGTGACCTGCGTTGTTGGCAGGAGAGGTCAAACTGACACAGTACAACCCATCAGGCCTTGTTGAACCTCTCGAAATTGGGTAACGCTTCCATGTTGGCGGAACCTTGTGTGACATTAGAAACTCTTATTTAGTTCCCTTGGCTGGCACTGAGATCCGGCAAGTGTTCACACTCAAGAGGGTATGCAGGTCTTGATGATTTAGCCAGAGATCTGAAAGTGATGAAACAGAGCGCTTCCTACCCATCGAGCAGAGCGCCCGGAGGCAAACTGAGTGCTGTTCTGACTGTAAGCTGATGTTGCGAAGGGTTTGTTCGCACTCTGACGTGTTTGGCTTCCTCTAGTACTTTGTTGAGGACTCTGTCCCATCGTCAAAGACGACTCAGGCGAGTCAAAGTGAATGAGAGTGAGGGGCCCCTGACTCGCCGTCGCTCAGCCGGTTGCTGAGGCCACTCAGAGATTCAAGCTGGGATCGAGCAATGTGAAGGGTAAGGCGAGGAGGAGGATGGAGTGCCGTTGACTGAGCTGCCGTTTTTTAGAGGATTCGGCGGACGCTGTTGTCAGCCCAAAGCAAAATTTCTTGTTGCCAGAGATCCCCGCGGCTACAAGTGAGTGCGCGATCGACGTAGTCACGGTGACTCATTTCCTACAGAGACTGAAGAGCGTTCGCCTGCTTTCCTCCTTCCTCCCCCTCCCCAGAAGACAGGTGAGGAGGAGGCGAACGTCACCGTAGAGTTTCTGTGACGCTCGGGTGGTCAGAAGAAGTTCAGGAGCCGCCAGCACCAGAGATCACCACGAAAGGATTTCTTCTTCCTACGATCCCCACAGGCGAGCTCCTCCCTCTCCTGCTCCCCTCTCCGCCTGCTGCTAATGCGCTCGCAGAGCTGCCTACTCCCTACACCGAGACCTTCGCCTCAGGCGTCAACAGCTACCCCCTCAGGTCTCTCTCTCCCTTCCTCGTGGAATCAGCTGGGACTGAGCTGGGCACTTATCGTCAGGCCTCTCACGCGCTCGGTGTTCGATGACTGGATGGTGAGGCCGCAAACTTCCCGTCTCCGTGCCTGACCTGTCCACCAGGGCCCCTACTGCTGCAAGTTCCAGTGCGGCTTCTTTGGTGACTACTACCAGGTAAGGGGAGCTGGAGGATGTGCCGGGGGCTGACGAGCTGCGACAGGTCAGCGTCCATGAGAATTACTGCCAAGGAGTCCAGAGAGGTGAAGATTGTTTCCTCCTCTACTTCTTTTTGGTCCCCTCGGATTCCTCCATCATCGTGTTGCCAGTCTTCTTGGACTTGTCTCTGCCCTGTCCTGTCCTGCTCTTGCCTTCTCTCCTCCGCTTGCCTTTGACGTCTGCTCTTATCTGTTCCCTTCCTGTCGTTCGTTGAGCTGAATCGCTCCACAGCTCCGGTCTATTCGCTGGGCAGCAGCTCGCTCTCCTACAAGCTTTCGGCGCAGGGGGTGAGAAGATGGAGGAGAAGAGAAACGTGTAGAAAGTGAAGGATTGAGAGGAACTCACAAGGAGGAGGATACGATCAGGAGGAAGTGGGGGGGGGAATGATTTGACTTGCAGGTCTACAACTGCGAGTATGGATGCGGATTCCGAGGAGGATACACTGAGGTAAGGAGGGAGGGGGGAGGAGGGTGGAGGGAGGAGGGAGGAGGGAGGAGGAGTCTAATTCCTGGCAGGTTTCCAAGCATGAGCAGGAATGTCCAAGCCGTCAGAGTGTGAGGATGTGAAAGAGGACAAGAAGCAAAGGAAAATCCCCTTGCCACTAAGCGAAAATGAAGCAAACTGAGATATTTCTCTTCTCTTCGATATAGTAGTAAAACATGGAGCTAGTTACATCATCCTCCCTCCTCATCAACTCACTGTCCCTCCTCCCCTTGTATCTCTCTGGGCTCGATCTCCTCATCCCTCTCAGACTCCTCCTCCATCTTGTGCGTGAACGGCTTCCCGGTCCTGCATGCCTTGCTGTACTTCTTGCTGAGCTCGACGATCCTCTCCGCCTTCTTCCGCAGCTCCTCCACCTTGCCCTCCAGCCCTTCCTCCGGTATGTCTGACCACAGGCTGCCGTCGTCGTACTCGGCCGCCTCGAAGTCTTCGGGGTAGGGGCAGCGCAGTCGGGTGAAGTAGCCCTGGATGAAGGCGAAGGAGATGCCGGCGACGGTGAAGAGGAAGAGGCCGGACAGCTGGTTAACGGTGAGGACCTCGCCACCTTGAACGACCTCCTCGAAGCAGATCGAGTCGCTGGGGAGGATGCCATAGGTCGAGGAGTAGTTCTGAATCTCGTCGCTGCTCCTAACCACGTCGATGGCCTGCGAGAAGGGGATGGAGAAGATCGAGTTCTTAGGGAAGCCCAGCCCAAAGCCCACTGGGAGCAAGTCAGCCATCATCTCCGGATTCGGGCTCTCCTCGTTCCGTCCTTCCCTCAGCCCCCGCTCCTCCTCCTCCTCCTCCTCCTCTTCTCCTCCTCCTAGTCTACACTTCCTTCTTCTTCTCCTGCTTTGAACCCTGCATTCCATAGTGTATCTTCCTCACAAGCTTTGCCCCCCTTTTTTCTCCTCCTCCTCTCCTCCTCTCCTCTTTGTCCCTTCTTACTCCCCCCTTTCCCCTCCCCCTCCCCCTTTTCCTCCTCACCTGGCTCGAATTGAGGACCGATAGTCACCAGGTCGCACTTTCCTGTCAGTCTGTGGCGGCGGTTCAGCTCGTAGATCGCAAGGGGCGCATGGTAGATGAGCGCGTCCGGCTGCCCCGAGCCATCGCCAGCTTTGCACAGCAGGTAGTCCCATGCTCCGAGCACCAGGCCCTTGATAGTGCAAGGGTCGTCCTTTCTGTAGTCCAGCAGGGAGCCGTCAGCTCGGACTGTCTCCATCCTCTTCACGGTGTAGATGTTGAAGGTGTTGGCGCTGGAAGACCGCATGCTCGCCTGGATGATGTCAAACTGCAGGCTCGACTGGGTCTTGTCGTCTGAGTTCCCCCCTAGGTACGAGCCGAAATAAGCAGGCCGGGCCGCGGAGCTGTTCCATGACGGCCCGGGGACTACGACACTGAAGGCGCCGGACTGGAGGGAGAAGAAGCCCTCGATGACGGGAGAGCCGGCGCTCGCGCTTAGGAATGCTCCGACAGCACCTGAGAGGAGTGAGGAGTGCTGAACGGAAGGGGAGGAGGAGGAGAAATGCCGAGGGAAATACTTGATGCGGGGGAGGAAGTAGTTTGAGAGATGGCGAGAGGGAGGAGACAAGGAGAACAAGAGGAGAGAGGAAGAGGAGGGGAGGAGGGAGCGAGACATGAACAGTGCAGGAGACGAAGGAAAAGATTTCACATTATACCAGTGTAGGTTGCCGCAATGATAACCATGAAGAGACAATGACCGATGAAGACAATCTGACGGCGGGTCAAAGCCCAACAGCAACCAAGACCTCTCACCTTCCCCCCCCAGGTCTCTGCAGACTTCCCACTTGCACCTAGAGAAAGGAATCAGATCAGAGGCGAGGAGGAGAAGGAGGAGGAGGAGGAGGATGGAGAGGATGAGGATGAGGATGAGGATGAGGATGAGGATGAGGATGAGGATGCGGATGAGGATGAGGATGATGATGATGATGAAGAGGAGGAGGAGGAGGAGGAGGAGGGGTGGTGGTGGTACTGGAGGAGGGGTAGACGAGGAGGATAAGGAGGGGTAGACGAGGAGGATAAGGAGGGTGAGGGGTAGACGAGGAGGAGGACGAGGAGGAGGAGGAGGAGGAGAAGGAAGGGTAGAGGAGGGGTGAAGGACGGGTAGAGCAGGAGGAGGAGGAGGAGGAGGAGGGGTAGAGGAGGAGAAGGATGAATTCAGTCCACCTGGATCAAACGCTGTTGCAAGGGACCAGTAGAAGGCGTCGTAGTACCTGACTTCCAAGATTAGCTAATCGAGTTTCCGGCGTCACTCCTCCTACATCGCCCTGCCCTTCAGCATCCCCTCGTTGTTTCGCTCCAGCAGCAGCAGCAGCAGCCACACGATCTAAGGCGGCAGGGTCTTATCCTCATGGCAGCCGGCAAGCCGCTGCCACTTACCAAGATCTCGATGCAGATCGTAGCCCACAGCAGCCCGCTGAAGGGCTGAAAGATGCTGAGGTATCCCTGAGGACCCGCCGCAGCATCATCAGAGGTCCGGCGGTCTTCAGGCTGAGTAGAACTACCTCAACGTTCATGACGAAGGTCGACTTCCTCTTGACGGTGACTTGCTGTTTCATCCATGTTCAGCTCTTGCGGCCAACATGGCAGCGGCACCTGAGAGATGTAATACGGCATGGAAAAATCCAGCAGGTCGTAACGCTGTCTGGTGATACTACAGATGCCACTAGTTAGTCTTACTCTCCTCCTCCTCCTCCTCCTCCTCCTCCTCCTCTAACTTGACCTCCTCCTCCTCCTCGTCGTTTTGCTGCTGTCCCTTCTCCTCTTACAGTTAATACCGCTGTTCCTCACAAGCGTTTTCCTTCATCCTGCTTCCACTCTTTTGCATTCAACCATCACAGCCCCTTCTATCTCTTCCCCTTGCTCCTGCTCCTACTCCTGCTCCTATCACTCGTCACACGAGCGATTCGACCTGATCGCTCCAGCGATGATGTCCGGCCCCCTGCTTACACACGCCGGATCTCCAACGTGGTCGCAGGTCCCGTTGGGACTTGGCCCATTGTACGAGGAGAGGGAGGGGCAGAAAGGGTTCGCAGCCGTTACGTTGATGACCGTGTCGTTGGCGAGGAAGCCTCCGTTGCACATCATGCCCAGTACCGCGTCCTCAGACCTGGGGTTGCTGCGAATGACGTACCAGTCAAACTCGACCGTTCTCTCCGGCGCTCCGTTGGCTACACAGAAGCCTGTCAGGATGCCTGCGAGGTGTGACGTCATCATGTCGTAGGTCAGCCCGCCATCGCCACGGAAGGCCTTGGCCGGGCACTTGAGTGTCGTCGTGTCGCGCGTGAAGGGGCTGGGGGTACAGAGGGTCTGATCGACGATGGTAAAGGGTTCTGAGACGTGGAACAAGATCCGGAAGCGCCTGCCGCAGTAGGAAGTGTCGATCTCGGGGATGACGTCAGCTACAGTCCGGCATGGGTGGAGCTGCAGGAGCAGCAAGCAGAAGACCCAAGATTTCATCCTCTGCGGACTCGGACACTTGCGATCAATAGGATGGCCGAAGGCCCTGACGCAGCTGCTCTGTTCTGCTGCAGTGAGACATCATGGAGAGTTCCTGAGGAGAGAGAAAGCAAGTCAACGAAAGAGAGAGGAAAAAGCATGCTCATATCTTTGGCTCATCCATCGAGCCCTTCCTCTCTATCTGTCTATCTGTCTATCTGTCTATCTGTCTATCTCTCTCTATCTGTCTATCTGTCTATCTCTCACTATCTGTCTATCTCTCGATGTCACTGTCACTCTCTGTCTACCATCGTAAAGCTTTCTTCCTCCCCTTGTCCTTTCTTCTTTCCTGTCCTGTCCTGCCCTGCCCTGCTCTGTTTAACTGCCCTGCCCTGCCCTGCCCTGCCCTGCCCTGCCCTGCCCTGCCCTGTCCTGTCCTGTCCTGTCCTGTCCTGTCCTGGCCTGTCCTGTCCTGGCCTGTCCTGTCCTGTCCTGTCCTGTCCTGTCCTGTCCTGTCCTGTCCTGTCCTGCCCTGTCCTGTCCTGTCCTG